CAGGGATGGTGGGGGCCCCTCATAATGGGCACAGCAGGTGTACAGACCCGGGAACTCAGCACAGGGATGGTGGGAGCCCCTCATAATGGGCACAGCAGGTGTACAGACCCGGGAACTCAGCACAGGGATGGTGGGGGCTCCTCATAATGGGCACAGCGGGTGTACAGACCCGGGAACTCAGCACAGGGATGGTGGGGGCTCCTCATAATGGGCACAGGGGGTGTACAGACCTGGGAACTCAGCACAGGGATGGTGGGAGCTCCTCATAATGGGCACAGCAGGTGTACAGACCCGGGAACTCAGCACAGGGATGGTGGGGGCTCCTCATAATGGGCACAGCGGGTGTACAGACCCCATAAGTCACCATTTGAGTCCTGGAGACTCTACTGCCCAACAACTGCAAGTTCGGTTTCGGGTGAATTGTATACACAGGAAATGTAACTTTAATCCTTTTATTCTTTTTATTATAATATACAGGAGCCCTGATTGGCCCGGAGATGGGATTCTGAGCAGCGACCTCGTACGATCCGGACCGTCAGTTTGGACTTTGTAACCCAGAACCTGGAGACTAAACGTTCTCTCACGACGGAAGAGACCGCGGGGGCGCCGGTCGCCATGGAGACCCCCGACGTGCCAGTGGGCAACCTGATAGACCTGGACACGGAGCCCCTGGTCGTCATGGCGGTGGAGTGCGCGCCTTCGCTGGACGTGGACGAGATCCTGTCACTGGAAGTGAACCCGCCTGAGAACGGCGACCGGGAGGAGGAGATCGAGAGCGACGCCACCGAGTCGGCCGACAGCGAGAACGACATGGTGTCGCCGAGCCGCCACAGCTGGAACCACTCCCAGAGGTCCTCCTCCGAGTCCTACTCGTCCAATCAGAGCACGGAGTCCGCCCAGGACGGGCAGATGGCGGAGCAGAAGGAGTTCATCCGGAATTACGTGGAGAAAATCTTCACAGGCGGGTAAGAAAGTGAACTCGAAATAATTATTCACGGGGTGTGGGATATTCTGCAACCTCCCTCTTATGCTTCAGTGTGTGTGTGTGTGGGCGGGTCTGCAGCAAATGAGGCTGACAGTGGGTGGGGCAAGTAACTTTTGTCTTCACTGGGAGCCTGCTTTCACGGAGCACCTGCACTGGATGCTGTAATTGAAGAGAAGGCGGAGAGCCCAAATGAGTGCCACGGACTCCAATGAGTGCTGCCTCCGCATATTCCCACCACCACTCCCATCATCTCATTGTGCTGGTGTAAGTATGATTCTGCTCCTCCAGCAGCACAGCCTAAACTCTAGGCAGATATGAAAGGCACAAATGATTGCAGTACAGATCAGGGGGAGCCAGAAGCAGCACGAAGAGACAATCGGTGTGTTGCAGTATAAGGAGCATGCTGATAGGAGGAGGCAGCAAAGTGACAGAGAGAGAGGAGCTCATCAATCTGTTGTTTTTTTCTTTCACCGTCCAGTCACAAGCTGGGGGAGGGACAAGACCTGTAAGCAGGGGCGTCCAGAGGTCGGGTGTCACCCGGCCTCTAGACTGGGTGACACCCCCGCCGTGTCGTCATTGCGCGTGACGTCACCTCGCGCATGCGCTACCATCTGATTGATGCCTGCCGGCGGCCATCTTGGTGACAGACACTGGCAGATAGAGGAGGGGACGTTCACCCGGCGGGATGAGGTATGCCGCCGGGTCCCTTCCTCTCTCCTGACACTGTCGGGCTCTCAGTCCATGACCGACTGGCCCACTTTTTAAAGGGGAGTGGTGACACCAAAATGACTGCCAGTCATTTTGGTGTCACCCATGTAATGGTGACACCCGGGTGCGGGCTGCAACCCCACCCCCCTTGTGACGCCACTGCCTGTAAGTGTTACCTAACTGCAGCAGAGAAAAAATAGGTCTCCTCCCCTAGCAGGCTTGGGCTGTGCGGTGTGGCAGGGCTGCATATATCTCAGGACTGGATGGACAGAAGAACTTTCACCTGAGTTTTTCGGCGTTTCGGGTACGGGGGGACTATGTCCTAAGTCGCCGTCCTGGCCTTGCATGCACTTATCTGGCCGACGGTATGTCAGTACCGACGGTATACAGCAAAGGGGTGGGCACCTCCGGCCCTCCAGCTGTTGTGGAACCACAAGTCCCATGAGGCATTGCAAGTCTGGCAGTTACAGGCTTGAGTCCCAGAGGCAGGGGTATGTTGGGATTTGTAGTTAAAGCACAGCCGGAGGGCTCCTGTTATCCGGAGAACGCGGGAAATCCCCCGTTGTCACAACGTAACACTTCTGAGGAAATCTGACACTTGTTAAATTTGGGAGAAGAAGCTGCCGCGGGTGTCATTAGAACGGGACGCGGCATCGGGTGCGTCTATTACATGCAGAGCGGCGCGGATGGGTATGACGGACGGGGGGGGGCCCGGCGATGTCAGGGTGGCGGCCCCGCGCTGCGCCTGTCGCGTTACATTACGAATGATACCGTCGCGGCAGAAATCGAGCGCGGTTGATACGCTCACCGCTGCCACAGATCCCCCCCGGGGGAGCAAGCGTCTGCTGGTGCATTGTGGGAAATCCATCGCAGACAATCCAGATCCTCCGTCAGTGAAACGCTCAAACGTATTAGATGTGCGTGAAAGTCGCAAAATGGCGCAACGCCGCCATTTTAATTTAATTTGTTGATGTCATTGGGGTATTAGAAATGTTTTTTGGCCAATTTTGATGGATCCGGCACCCTGAGGGCGACGGAAGCCCAGTTCACCGTTCCCGATCCTGTGCCAGAAAACCGCCCCCTCATCAGCCTCTTTTGTTAGAAGCCCCGCCCCCTGCGTAGTACAAGACGGGCTAAAGACCCCCCTTATAGATTGTGATTCAATGCGATTATTGTGCCCGGAGTTCAGCTTTACCTTTGTAGGGGGTCGGCCATTGAATTCAAGCTCGCAAAAATGCAGCCCATGGGCGCCCACTCTGGAGCGTGAGAGGGAAGTTGCACAGAACAGGCACGCCCGGAGGAACCGTGAAACAACTGCCTAATCAGAACGATGGAACATTGATCTGAATATTGGAAGCC